CTTGCAACGGAGAATCTGGAAGGTTTTTAATAGTAGCTCTAAACATGGTCACTATATTATAGCGTTATGGCATTAACAAAATCAGCTGTAATATAGGTGTTTGAAATGTTTGACTATCTTAAGGTTTATTTTAAATCAAACAATCTAGCACAATACCAATCCCATCGTAATAGTGAATATAAACTACTCACAAAATGAACATGATGAATTAACAAATCTGATTTTTACTGCTTCATCATAAATTTAAAATTTTACTAACACAACTTTGCATTAATAGCAAAGAGTTAAATCTTGCAATATAGGTTTTATATAGAAAGGACTCTCCAAAAATTTTTATCCCAGGTTGTCTCCAGATTGTTAGTTAAAATGATCAACATTACTAATAAGTAGTAATTTATCTCTAATTCTTGGTTAATCTCTGCCAATACATTTATAAAAGAGAAGGGAAGAAATAATTGGAGATAATCTGGCACTGCCACACGTGTTTCCTAATTTCCTATCTTCACGTGTTCTGGTTGGATACAGACAATTGAGAGCACAGTCACTTTTCTTAACATTCTTTAGCCATGATTTTCCTTGACTGCCTGAGGACATCATTTAGCTCTGGTGAGGCAGTGCTCTTTTTCTTTCACTTAGCTTAACAAATCAGAAAACATTTGGATAACTGATTTTTGTGAGGGAAAAAGTCAGTGTTCAACTTAAATTAATGAATATAAAGACTTTCCTCTCAGGAAGGAACATTTCCATCTGTTCTGCTCATGGCATAAGGTGATGCCCAAAGCCCCTTAGTGTTAATACCAAATGCATATTTAAATTTATGTCAAACAGAATTGCCTCTTTGGTCCAAGCAAGAGTATACTGATGATACTACAGATACTGCCTCAAACACCTACTGCACACTTCCTGTGTGTTAGTCATCATGCTCAGTACTTTTGGGGGTTATCAAATGTAATCCCTGTACCACCCTATGAGGCAGATACTATTATTGTCCTGATTTTACAGATTGAGAGCATGAGGCTAAAAGAGGTCAAGTAATGTGCCCAATATTCAACTAGAAAGCTGATTCCAGAGCCCATGGGACAGAGTATTTGGTACTGGGCAGAATTTATGTAAAGCCTAAAAAGAGAGATGAATTTGGAACAGAAAATAAGAGACTCTTAAAACTGTCACTATCCCCTTTTCCTTTTTTCTTTCTTCCAATCCACAATTCCCATCAAAATAAAACATTCAGCAGTCAGTCACAACAGAATAAAGATCTGTAGGGGAAAAGATGACAGTGTGGTCAATATAATTTGAATGTGATATAAAACTGCTAGACCAAGACCAGCCAGGTCTTATTTTTAATTTATAGGTCCAACAAATTTTGTTCATCAAGATATGCATTTGACCCAGTGGTAAATGCTTTGAAATTAAGATCCAGAAGACAAAGACTCTGAGCATTCTCCTAACTGCCTCAGCACTTAGAGCTAACAGGCAGAGCCCTATGTAAAATAGTATTCACATAGGTGTAAAAACCTATAGGCAAGACTAACAATAATATTATATGCAGGTAGGTGCTAATAAGGCCATTCAGGCAGATGAGGTGTCAACAAGGTCTACTTCTTGAGGAGTGAACTTGGGTTGCTACTGTGTGGTAGGGAAGCCAAAGGTTGTGAAATTTAGGATCTTGACAGAATTAGCCACTTGTAAAGCTGTTTGATATATCAGGGAAAAAAGAAAGGCACCAATTCCATTACTAAAGTTTGAAATAAAAGTAAAATAAGTGAAGATTTTTCCAGATTAGAGTTAAATATACATCATTTGAAAAAATTGAGGGTGAAAAGCAAGTAGCGAAAAGAAATCTCTTACAATGATGCTCACTTACACTCATCTTCTTGTTTTTTAAAGCCAGAACTTAATGCTTTTTCCTATAAAATTCAAACTTATAATAAGAGTATTAAATTGTTACTCTTAGAATATTAAATGTACAACCTCTGGAGCCCAAACATTTCTTTTACAAAAAACAGGAAACAGAATTTAAGATTACAAGTTTTAGGTAGACGTGATGTGAGTACAACTACTACTGCCCAGTACAGCAGTGAATTAGTAGAGGCACAATAAACATAATCTATTAGTGAGTTCGTAAAAGTGTCTCTACTGTTCAACAACATGATAATAAGGAGGCACAATACTTAGATGATGGCCAACATCTTATGGCTACTTCCAGACCAAAACACCAGAAAATACTCCTTTGAAATATATTTTCATTGCATCTTTGGTTAGGAACCTGACACCATAAGTACCTGAAAGAAGATATGATATGATGGAGAGCTTTTGACATCCGTTTAATCTCATGTAACATTATGTAACATTACTATTTCTTTAAGATAATTTGGGCTTTAACCTACATTTGGTAATTGTAAGTGGCTTTCCCCCCCTGAGATTTATAGTACTTTACTTCAGGCTTGTTAATAAACTTATAGGAGATAGGGGGTAAAATTAATTTAATCTGCCACTTTAGAACACATGCCTGAAAATTTTGTTTTTTTATTTGTGAAGGTGGACCAATCATGGAAGTAATACGTGTGATATTAAGTTAATCCATTGATAGGGCATTATGTAGGGTCTCTTAAGAATTTAGAAAACTATTACAATGGTTCACAATTTATTATAAATGTGAGGTATATAGATTATAAAGGGACAGGGCTGGTTTTAGATACGCCTATCTATTCTTTCTATACCTTTGTTCCTTCCATCCCACCAGTAATCTCATGGTGGTCGAGTACCGCCCCAGCATACTAGTACTTATAAAATTTAACAAATACTAAGAGAGAGCCATGACCATCACATAGAAACTGTCAACTATGAATAACAAATAGTATTTGTTTTAGTTCGCATCTTGGTTTTAAATCACATTATGTAGCCATTTTAGCTTGCAGAAAGTTTAATATAATCAATAAAGAAAATAAGCACCTACTTAGTATTTAATGTTTCCCTTGTATTGTGAAGTCAAGAACCATCATTTGCAAAGTCACTCAGTGACTAATTTGAAGTATTTAGTTTGGTGCACTGCAGGGATGGAAAACACCTGATCTATGCACTGCCATGCTCTCTCCCCCCACCAACCACACCAGACCTCACTAATTTATCCTGTTGTTCTTTCTGTCTTGGAGACTAACTGCAGTCTCAGACACGTGGCACAACCTCAGACTCCTGTTCAACACTGCATTCAAGGCAGCCATGAACAATGTGGCATACCTCTGGAAAGACCAATACATTGGTGATCACAAACTATAGATTATAGATTGGGCTATAGATTCAGGCTTGCCATTGAGGAACTGCAGGGCACCTGTGAGCCATTCATTTAATTTCTCCATCGTTTGTTTTTATTCCGAAAACATTTCAGTGAAAATATAAAGATCTGTTGCTGTAGATTTATTTTTCCATCAGTAGAGTAGATAATAATTTTTTAAATGGTAGAAGTAGATTTACATAAAGAACAAACACTATTATTGGTTAAGCCATCTCACTCTTCAGTCTAAAGAAAACAATTTTTCCATTGAAATTATTTTAGGAAAAAGTGTTACCAATTAAGAATACTGCCTGTTCCATTTTTAACGCACTTTTTTTTTAAGTATAATTTTGAATGAATCTTCTTTACTAAGTTAAAATATAGTTATTTTTGAAGTGTGACTTTATTTTCTTCAAAACATAGAGAAAACCTAAAAATTAAGATTATTTTAGTCTTTCACATAAATTTACATAATTTCAGCAAACCTTAACACTGCTTTTTAATTTTTGCTAGTTTTTCAAATGTTATTATTGTAAAGAAAGCTTAGAAGGGCAAACACTTTAGAATTAAAATGAATGAAATCCCAAACTAGATAATTTCAGATCATTATGAAACCTAATTTCATGTGCAAAATTTATTACCAATCCCCTGCATTCACTATTTCCATAAAATAGTACGTTACTGCCGTTTCCATTTCATTTTTGTTTTGCATCTAACATTTAAAAAATGTTTAAAGTTTATATATTTTCCACAAAGAAGAGCATCCCATGTTAATTTGACTCTATTTTTATTGAGAAAAATCTTTTGTTTTTTCAACTAAGGTATGAAATTATATATTTCTTCTTCATTCAGGAAGACACTGATTATTTGTCTATGCGATTAATTATGTTGTGTTCTACCAATCATAAATTAGGAAATATTATGTATATGGTAGTAAAAAAAGATAAGTTTTGGGTGAGTCAATTTAGGAATATTCTAGACCATGGAAACTAAAAAAGTACATCAATTCTTAAGGAAACAAGCAAAAATTCTATACATGAAAATATACGACTTACATATTTAGAGATTCCTTAGGAATACAGGTAGTATCCATGGTAAACAGAAACATGAAGTTGCTCTATTTAAAAATTCTTGAACGGCCACTTCAAGATTGTTATTCATTTCCAAGGCTAACCAGTATGTGAACTGGGTCATGGAAGTAATTTTCATTGGATATTATAGTCTAAAGAGACAAATTACACTCTAGTGACAGAATATGTAAAAAGAGGCCTTGGCATATTTATATGGTAACTTGCAGAACGTGGAACAGGAACTTTTCCCTGAAATATGTATTGTATCTATCCATAGTCTCAATGTACTTATTTGATGCATATCAATACCATCTCATCAAATTATTCCTAAATCTGTTCAAGAAAAGTGTAGTGGTTCAAGAAAAGTACAGAGGTGAAAAAGCCATATGCTCTCATATATATAAGGTAAACTTTAACGCCATCAACTCACAGAAACGGTGAACTGTATGTATATCTGATGAAACATAATTGAAGCAAGAATATAAGAAGTAATAGAAAACAAACTAATTACATCTGTGCCTTAACATTAGTCATCTCTTGATCATCTGCATCAATGGAAGGTAGCGGCTGATAGAAAATCACAGACCATCTCTTTAGCAGGGTTGGGTCTATGGCCTTGTGCATAGTAGCTGAATTACTAATTGCCCAGTGTAACTTACTGCAAATGTGTTGTGAGGATGCCCATCACCAGAAGAGTGGCCACAGACACATAATTTTGTTTCTGGAAGCAATTCCTAGATTAAACAAAGAGAATCAGGAGTTGGCTTTTTTTTTTTTTTTTTTTCCAATCTTAAGGCTTAATGCTAGTAATGTACATTATCATTTAAGAAAATATTATTTGGATTATTATCTTGGTAGGTTGACCTAGGCAAGACTACTCCACCTTTGTCTCACAGCTAATAATAGTATTAAATAAAATTGAAAAAACAGGAATAATTTGGCAGATGTTAATTTGAATATTTGAAAATACGAAATAACCACTAACCAAAAATTACTGATCATCTACCAGGATACTGACTTAGGAGCCTCACTTCCCACTTCTAAGCTAAAATTATGGCCAATGTTTATTAATAAATATTCCTATAGCTTTAAATGGTACTGTGATTTTAGAGTATGGCATGCTATTTGTCCCTAAAACTTTATCTCTTTTTGAAAAAGCTAACTGTTGACTTGTAGTCAATTATAACCAACACGAATGAACATAAATCCTGTCTTGTCATGAAATGTGAGAACAATCACAAGAATCCCTTTAAATAAACTGCCTTGGTTCTGCATTACTATAACACAAATATTGCCATTAAATACATATTTAAGACTATGGAGCTAAACTCAGTAATCTCTGTTAAAACCTGTTGAATTGTGTCATTTGTATTGAAAATTACTCTATATACTCAAATGAATAGTTTGCGTTTTTATCTGTAAAAGCAAAGTGATTATTTATTGATAAATGACATGGAATGTCATTTTTTACCTAAGTAGCATCAGACATTTCAAAAGATTTTGTCTGAAGGGCAAAAGGATTACACTGCATTTGTGTAGACCATGTGACAACACATCCTTAGACTTCATGTATGATATGAAAGGATGATCCCCATTCATAAGATACACAAGGGAAATTATATCAGAAAACAAGAAAAGCAAGGAGGGATGTGGTAGGGGTGTCAGGGAGTATTTGTAGTGGTTTGATGCATGTAAATATTACATCTTATAAATAATTCTTTTCAAATACATCTCTGAAGTTCAGGGGATCTGTTTGAGAAACGGATTGTACATGCTTTACATGACTATATGCCATTTTCTTCAAGATAAGAGCAACATTAATTTAAACAGAAAAAAAAATGGCTTCCAAAATATTCTTTCCCTTCAATTTCCTATGAAGAAGTATGTCACCTGATGCTGGCAGATGAGGATGAAGAAAAAACGTTCAAGTTATATTTTACTGTCAGAATCCAACAAACACTTTTTCATCTAAATTATTTTGTCAACAGCCTTGTAGTACCCTTGCTAACCTTATTTGGCACCAGTGCATAATTAGATACACAGGGGTGTGACTCCAATTGAAGGTGTTGGCATTGAAGCACTCTGTGAAAATATTAACTATGAGGTTAACTCCAATTTTCTCTTCTTTAATTAAATGCACATGGTACTAATGAGGTAACCTACTGTTCCTTGATAGCACTAATTAGCTAAGAGGAGAGTATACTCTCACACTGCAATTTAAACCTAAAAATAAGGTTGAAATATGCTAATTGCAGGCAATTTAAAACAGTACAAGTTGAAGAACTAGTCATAATAAGAGAAACTGACTGCTTTACAGCTAGGCAGCTGTAACTTTGGTTAAAATCAAAACAAGCCACACGATTTTTGGACTGCTATTTAAGGAGGTCATAAGCATCCTAAAAAAAAAAAGAAATGAAATGCTACTCCGTACCACAGCAATGAACCAGATTAACAAAAAATCCTCAGATCGACACTCATCTACCTAAAACCAAAAATCAGTGAGCATCATGAGAACTCCAAAGGTGCCACGACACTATATTTAGTACAGAAAATGAAACTTCATAAATAAGCAACATCACCTTAAGCTCTTTCAAGAGCACCCAAATTAAATATTGTACTTTGTGTCTAACATAGACAAAACATGTCAGGTGCTGAAGATCTGCCATCCCAAGCACAGAGTCTGAAGGGAGGATATAGAGATGATTAAGAAACAGGACATTTCCAGACCAGGTACAAGTACACTGATAAAAATACACAAAAGATGTTATGACATAAAATGCTGTAGGCATCATTTAAAGGATACAGGTGCCAAAATTATCAGAAGGATTTCATTATAAGAAGGAGATTTTTGCTCCTTTTCCTCTACAGATTAGAGCTCTGTGATGGGCGTAGCCTGAAGCTTCACTGTGAGAGAGAATATTCTCCATTCTCAGCTCACGTGACTCAGAAACATAATTTCAGTAAATCTAAGTATAATCCAAACATATCTTCTTTAATTGTGTCTCAAACATTTCCCCAATATGATTTTAACTGATAACCATTGAGATAACTTTGACATAAAACAAGATTCTGAAGGACCTTCTGAAGCCATGACATATTTTTGTTCATCAGAAACTTTGTTTGACCAAAGCAACCATTGCCTGACAATGCCAAATCATTCCTGTCACCATAGATAAAAATACAGCACATTAAAATGATACTGTCATTAATCTATCTTTAGGGACAAAAGAGATAGGACTGTCCCACACTAAGGACACACAGTGACATTTCTGCCCTGTCATTTTGCATGCAAAATTATAAGATATATACAGTTTAAATAATCAAAAGAGTTGAGCAAGGAATAGAAATAGAGTTAAAAAGCAAAATTTATGAACAGAGAAAGTCAACTTAATCTTATGTTTACTGAAGAACAATACCCTGGAAAAAAGCAAACCATTTGAAAGGCACAGGCTTTTAAGTAACTCCCAACTAATAACTCCAGGAGTTAAAAGTATGTGAGAATAAACTCTGCACTGCCATTAGCCCGTCATCATGTCTTGCCAAAAAGCCTGGTTGAAGAAACTGCTTTGAAAAACCCACCCAGCTTCTTCTCCTGGCTGTCCTAGAGCTTTCTACAACAGAAGGAGACAGAATGTTGGCAAGAGACGCACTAATCAACCTCCGACCAACCATGCTTGAACAGATCCATGAAGCTGCAGGTCTGTGAAGGAGTAGCAAGGGGAATGAAATCAGACAGTCATTTAGAAATGGGTCTCCTGGAGGAAACCTGACATAATCTAGCAAATCACAGGGCAACACAATGTGAATCGATGTTTTAAGTGTTTGCATCTGTTTCAAATAAGCACCAAAGAACCTTTTAACAGTGAAAAGGCCAGGACAGTGTACTGGAATGGGCTTTCAACATTAACTTCAGAGGGAAACTATTCTTCTGTTAAATATGGATCATTGCAATTTTCTGTTAAAACAATAAAGACTTCAGTGTTCAGTGTTGGAAATAAGAATACTAGCTCTGGAGACAGTCTGCCAGGGTTCAGATCCTGACTCAACACTTGCTAGTAGTGTGACCTTGAGCAAGTTACTTCGCTCTTCTGGCCTCTCTCCCTAGAAAGGGGGTAGTAAGTAACAACGTCCTAGGGTTGTTAAATACACTGATTTATAAAGTACTTAGAATAGTGCTGGTACCCATATACCTAATGTTTCTTAGCTATGTAGTTAATATTTATTAGCTATCATTATTGCTTCAGAACATTCAATTTCTTTCAAATAAAAAATTATTAAAGTCCTACTGTGTATAAAACACACTGTAAAGGATGCAAAAATTCCCAAGACATTCTATCCGCATTCAAATAGCTTTCCGTCTCCTGTTGGACTTCATGATACAAATCAAAGCCTCTTCCATATGAATAAAAAATATTTTTTCTCTTTAGAAACCTGGTGTGGCAAAGCAAAAAGTTAATATGAGGGTGTCTGCATTCAGTGACAAGGTGAAGTGACTTCTAAGAAATAATATAATTTTTGCAAAGTTGATGAAGGTATATTTTCATAGAAAAATAGGAAAGTATTATATATTGATCTTTCCTAATGAATGAAAATATTTTTAAATTATAATTTTTCTTGAAGCTGGCTGAAAATGGGATCAAATTTTTCTTTAATATGTTTAAAACTTTAGTGTCTTATAAAATTTGGGGTAAAATGATATCTGAATGGAATAGTGATCTACATTTTAAAGGTGCAAAAATTTTAAAATAGTGTTCGGCCAGTCAAGAAATGTGGATACTCTTTTTTTTTTTTTTTTTTTGTGGTGCGCGGGCCTCTCACTGCTGTGGTCTCTCCCACTGCGGAGCACAGGCTCCGGACGCGCAGGCTCAGCGGCCATGGCTCACGGGCCCAGCCGCTCCCCGGCACGTGGGATCCTCTCGGACTGGGGCACGAACCCACGTCCCCTGCATCGGCAGGCGGACTCTCAACCACTGCGCCACCAGGGAAGCCCTTTTTTTTTTTTTTTTTTAAGAAATGTGGATACTCTTGACCTAGTATGAAACAGGAATAAAATTAAACGGTTAACTGGCCTTCCCTCCACTCTAACCGTTCTGTTTGTTGGCTTGGTTGGCTATCTTTAGGCTGTTCATCACATCTGATGGAGACTGTCCCAGGGACAGTGGGGCCAGAGTTGTGCCAGGGTGATATGTGTTGGCTTTGCAAATTCAAATTACTTCGTCTATCCCCAGCCCACCTCCGGAAAACAGACTAAAAGCTGCCTAGCCCTGACAGAGGAGGTGAAGAAAAGAGAACTGCTGTCTGGCAAACATTATTTCATAAGACCAGTGGATCTGAGTAGGTGGTATATTGTTTGGAGTCAGTCAACGAGGTGCAGGGACCATGTACCCCACAGGACCAAACCAGTATGAGCACATGCCCGAAGACTCTTCATTCTTCATTCTGAACAAGGAGTAAGTCCTGCCTTACTTCCTTCTGTGGCACTGACTACAAAACCCATATGATATTGAGGAGAATAGGATGCAGCCATTAAAGAATCACTTCGCAGAGAAAGAAAATAGAGCCCAGGGAGCTGAAATTATTTACAAAAGCTCATGCTTTTATTTATTTTTTAAGGCTGCTGTGCATCACAATAGCCTACTGGAACAGGTTCTCAAACGTTAGCATGTAAAGGAATGTCTGGATGAACTGTTATAATTGAAAATTCTACACTTCTAGGGACTCAGATTCAAAAGAT